GCTTCAAGACTACCCTGTGATGCCCAATCTTTTGTGCATTGCCCATTTTCTTTAAAAGGTTATGCAAGCCATGGACTGAGACGAGAGCCTCAATAAGTTCTTTCCTTTCCAGGCCAAGAAGTTCGGCTTGAACAAAGAGGGAGTTGGGGATCATATCTAGCAGCTCGTTTGAGACGCCTCCGGAGGATGGAGTAGAGGTCTGGATTCCCTCGTTGTTCATCGAGAGACTCTCCATCTGTACGTAAGGCGCTTGTTCGTGCATGAATGCTGGCGGCCGGACAGTCGAAGGGGTGGATGTCATAGTGCTTGAGTTGACCTGGGGAGGTGGGGCAGCAGCCGTAGTTTGAAACACAGGATTGAAGGAGGCCGCAGTGGGCATGGAAGTAGGTATAGTTGTGCAGGGGTTGTAGGTCGCCTGTACGGGGACATCTTCAAGCTTCCTGGCATACAAGGGACAGTTGGATCTACGGTGTCCATGCCTATGGCAGCGCGAGCACTTCACTCCGTAGGAGAGAAAGGCTGGGAGAATCACCCCCTTGGACTGGATGTCGAAGCGCGATGGCAATATGTCCAGCCTCATGTCATCATTCAATAAGATAAACACTTCTCGCCGACTGTCTTTGAACAGGTATCCCCCCACGTTGAGGAACACCGGGGCGATCGATGTTATTCGGCCATAAGGTCTCAGAGCGCCAATGATGTCCGCGTCCTCAGCACAGAATGGTAGATTGCTAATTATAATCTTCTCCGCTCTTTTACGGAAAGGATAGGTCTTAAGAAGGGTTTCGTCTATTAAAAGGCCTTCATCAATGAGACGTTCTGCGTGAGACTTAGTCGCGAGGCCGACGAGGACGTGACCATTCATCCTGGCCAGCTGGACGACATTGGGGCTTCCTACCAGAATGTCCAGTGCCTGCAAGTACTGGAACCGGCTGAAGTCGGGGCAGTACTCCACGTAGACACACTGATCCAGGTCGCTCGCGGCTTGCTGCTCTCTCGATTCCGCAATCCTCTGTCGCGAGGCCTTAATCTCCTGTGTAAACGGTGCATGCTTCGCAGGAAGCTTGTTGCGACAGGTGTTGGCACTTCTCTGGCTACTGGAACACGATGTACGCGGAGGAGCTGAGGTTATCCGCCACTTGCCCTCTACCTTGAAGGGTACACGGTTGGCAGTAGAATCATGGTGCTCCATGGTCTCCGCCCAGTTGAGAACAAGGCCGCTATCACCACTGGTAGTTGTCGTTGGATAGCCAGGCGAATTTGCATGTCCATCTAATGAATAGTTTGCGTTTTCACGACATTCGCAATTATCATAGAATTTTCCCATTGAATTGTAATTAGCTGATTCTTCAGCGTTGGCTTCATTAATCTCAATGAGATTTATTGCTTCTTGCAGGGGAACTTCCAGGCTTTCAGCCAATATGTTATAATAGTTTGAGGATTCCATAATTTGGCCGCTAGAAGCAAAAAAAAAGAAAATATTAATGGCCGTTTTTATAAGTGCGTTTCTAAATTGGTAGATTTTAGGGGAGTGATTTAAACTATCAGATCTTCTAGAGAGAATATTTGTATAGGTCTAATGTTCAAAACTTCTGGATTCGAAATGCCATTTGTGGAATCAACTAGTCCTGAAATTATTGTTTATATTGTATACATAACAAAATATTGCGATAGGATGGTATTCATATAAACAGTAGAACCTCCCTGTAAAGGACAATATCTAATTGCAGAGCCAAAGTGTCCTTTATAGAGAGGTGTCCTCTTACAGAAAAGTTACTAAATAGTAAAAATGGTAACTTTGGTGATGAAAAACTGTCATTTATAGAGAGGTGTCCTTTAGCGTCAGTATCCTCTTATGGAGGCACTCTACCACAAATGGATATTTTAATGCACATTTAAAAGGAAAGATGTTTCTTTTGATACATATATTCAAATTGTGTTTATAGGAATATTTTTAGCAGGGGGATAAACAGAAATAGCACATTTATAATTAGATAATGTGTATAATCATTTTATTATGAAATTATTAGAAAAATTCGATTCGAATGAGAGAATTAGAAAAAGATTATTTTTTAAAACACAACTCTGATTTCAGATTTTTAAAGCCTCTGGCGTGATTTTATGGAAATTGGTGATAACTGATGAACGACCTTTCAACCAGCAAGAGTACGTTTTAATTAGTTGAAGAAGAGATTAACCGAAAACTTTTCCTTTAATCAAGTGAATAGTAAGAGTTGTGGTCACACTTATGCTTTTTCTTTGTAGTAAATCTTATGATAATGATGACTATTACCTGATTTAAGACCAAAACGACTTTAAATAACGAAAAAATGGTCCCCTGTCTTGGTCTTAAAAAAGAATTACTACAGGCAAAAATAGACTTTCACCAAAGTGTGCCTGGATCATGGTGCCATGATCAACGAAAGCTGCACCCCTACACCCCATTCCATGAAATGGAATTCGTGTAATTTTTACACAAGGGGATAATAAACAACAACAACAAAAAAGAATTAACAATATAAATGTGTTAGAACACTTAATATTTCTCTAGATTCCCGACATTTGATTGAAATTTCGTCAATCCTTCAATGTCGAAGACCAATAATTACCAGCCTCCATCAAATTCTGACCAATATCATCCTGATCACTGACCCATCACATCAACCATTGTCATTCAATTCGAACTATACACATCATTAATAGTCAACTATGTAAACCCATTATACCAAAATATCAAAATAATCACAATAAGTGTCTTTATTTCAATTTCTATAAGATACGAGTAAAGTACGTATTGCAATTATTTTGATTGGTATATTGTGTTTATACTTTTTCAATTATTTTAAGAATGTTTAACTGACTATGTACAAAACAATTCTAGATCAGCCCTGGCCAACCTAAATAACGCCACGGGCCGCACGGAATCGTAAACAAGGTCTAAAAACTTTAACTATATCAAAATTTTATCTTTAAGATGTATTTAAAAATATATTTAATACTTCCTTAATGCTTAATGTTTTTATTTATTAGTTTTTGGCTGCTTTTTTAAAATAAAAATAATAATAACAATTTAAAATAAAAAATATTTCTCTATTAATTTTTATTATTACTAACTTTTTTTCTTCCTTTTTATGGAATCAAATATGTATTTTGAAAATTGTAGGACATATTTTAAATTAAAAAATTATTATAATTATATCAATATATTTTCTGTTTTTCAATATACAGACGAGAACTGAAAGTTACAAAAGAAATATAAAGTTAAATGGCGAGCCGCAAATTTTTTTTTACGGCGGGCCGCGGGTTGGCCAGGCCTGCTCTAGATCTATGGCCAGATTCGACCTCAGCATGGAACTTCCTGGTCAACTGATTCTGCTCAGGATGCGATTAAAAGGGCTTCTCATTATTATTTACTAGTGAGCTCGTAAAGTAGTTGGCGTTCTGCGCTCCAGGAAACTGGGATGGAAATATATTTCTTTATGTACCAGTATACAGTCCCGCACCTTTTTAATTTTAAACAAAAAAATAAATTTTCGGGGCTTATGGACCACCCTGCCAAGATATTAAGACAATACTGAGAATCTTGCGAATTACCATCAGGATGCCAAATGTTACAGTAGGGGTGGGTGCTTCTAACGCTACACGGTATACATAATTGGGAATTTGCATAGCTTAAACTGGCCAAATAATTGGGAGAATTCACCAATGATATAAGCCAAGACTTCTATCAATATAGTTTTTTTTAATCATTTTTCAGTAAGGATATTAAAAAAAGTATTGGGAAAAAAATAAACATTCGCGACCAAAAGAGCATCTATTTAAACATGATGGAAATATAGAGAATTATATGTTATATAAACACATTTCCGCGCATAAAAAATGATAACTGTCAAGATGACATGGCAATTTTAATCAAAACAATCTTATTTGTATATTAAAGAACAGAAAGGCAACAATAGACACACGATGAATAACAAATTGATAAATTTGATAATATTTTAATGGTTTGAAGAGAGGAACTTTTCAAATTCTGAGCAGCAGGACACCTAATTGCTGAGAGCCAAAATGTCCTTTAGGGAGAAGTGTTCTCTTACCTGTGAGTTGTTAATTTTGAACTGTGTGTAGAGGTGTCTTCTAGAAATAATGTCGTCTAATGTAGATGTGTTCTACTGTAGTTGGTGTCTCTAACTTTCTAGATATATCAGAGGTGTTTTGTATTTGAGGTAGAGTTTAATATATACATATTTCTGTCTAAATAGATAGAACTATACACAATATCCTTCTTAAATTAAATATATGAAAAGATCATGCGGTGTTTTAAATAATATTCTGTAAAATTATCATTTAATTTTTATAATGGTTATCTATTTTTACTTAGCAGGCAATTATACATTCATCACATTATGAAAATACTAGTTAATTGCCTTTGCATGCATATCTTGAACATGCACATGCAGATAGTGAAGAAATCTAAGGGAATGTTTGTACAGATGTTGCTTGTATATCTTGAGCTGTTTATTGCAGGCGTCAGAATTGGTTTCTGGGGTTTGATAGCACATTTTAGGCAGAGAAAACTTTGCAGATGCATACGATGATGATGAGATGTGGAAAAGGCATTGAAGAAAACTCCGAAGAGCTGAACCTCATGACTTCATAAAAGATCGCTAGACTAATGGTGTTCTACGAAGTCGTCAGATTCAACTATGCGGAGTGTTCTATAAGAAAAAGGTATTCTTTGGTTGGACAAGTATGGCTGGATATATCGATCTCCTGGATCGTACAGAAGGAGGATATTTAACAGCAATGGAAGGTCCAATTCCTCATCAAGACAGTCGCAGATGCACCAGAACTAATGAAAGTGATGTTAGTATTGGATTCAAATTTTTTGGTTATTCTTGCTCCCATCTTTGAAAATAAAACTCCGAAACGAAGCTTTGATTCTTGAGATTCTCTTGAAGGGATGGTGATGCTTCTCTTGGAACGTAGGGAAGACAATACGGAGCTGAAGATGCGCGAAAGGGGGGACCGGAAAATCATTCTTCACCAGTCCCAAACTTCGCGCTCCCTCAACACCGCACTACTTGATAACACTACTGTCTTCTCAATTCATACTAATTTGATACTAAGGGATAGACTAAGACTATGGTAAATATTTATATAAGGAACACATAGGATATTCAATCTACTAATTCTAAGAGGATCATGCAAAACGAGCATCTCAAGCTATTTATAGTACTAAGGCTTATGATAACATGAAGATGTAAAAAAAAAGCAATGAAGTGACTGAATTTAGATTGGTTCAATGAATTTTTTTGTGGTCAATGACTCTTTACATATTGAAGGGGTATAACAGCAGATGTGTGTTGATTTTGAGGCAAAAAAAAAGGCATTTTTAAATTGTTTAAATTATTAAATTTATATATGTATTGCTTAATGGCGCGAAATTGGCTATGATATATGCTTTTTTTAATAAAAAAGACACATTTTCATGTTAATAGTTCAAAACAACATAAGGAAGGTCTGCAAGGTACATTTACAAATACATAAAATGATTATGGTGCAAGATATCATCAAATTTTGCATATATACCTACCTTTACTTTTACAAATGTTTTTAAATGGCATTTCGTTTGTATATCTCATGAATCTTGATGATGATGTTAATAAGTCATAAGAAAGTTATGATGATAAACAAACATTGAGAGAGAGAGAGAATGATAAAATATAATCATTTTTAAATTTCAATTATAAACTAATTTTTAAACCTTATTAACGGGAAACGTTTGTGAAACATATAAACCCAATGTCATAAAAATTTTGGCAATGAATTAGTACACAGACAAAATTGGATTAACATATTTCATAGTTAATATAAAGAAATAACGACGCCATATATATATAGCAAATTAAAACATTTAGACGCGAATGTTCCTTTCGGACATATAGCAAAATTCTACTATCCTTACTGCGATGAAAAAATATTGTGAGGGTTTAGCTCATCAGTGGTGAACTCTCCCAGCGGTTTCGCCAACTTAATCTACCAGACCACTTCTCTTAGAGCTTTAATCGCAGGCATCGCAGTAAGAACAGTAGAAGTTTAATATATGTGTGAAAGAAACATTAGCTTCTAAATGTTTTCATTAGATATTTTTCATAGTACAGTTTATTCTCAATTTATGAACAATGGTATTTAATACTGATATTTTCTAATCCCTCAATTTCAAAAAAAATTAGTATGAAAACAAATAGGGATTGAAACCTACTGTATTCAATACGAAACTGAATTTAATGATGACATTTTCAAATACTTTAATCTCAAAAGTAAATTTAGAGTATGAAGGCAGATAGGAATAAAGACATAACGTATTTAAGAACAAACTGTATTTAATATTGATATTTTATAATCCTTTAATCCTCCCCAAAAAAACCAAATTCAAAATAAAAACAATTAAGGATGAATACCTTTTTATTTTAAAGACAAACTGTATTTAGTACTAATGTTTTATAATACTTTTATTAAAAAAAGCATAAATTTAGCATGAATTTAAATAGGGGTTAATACCTATGGTATATAGGACAAATTGTACTTAAAATACTGATATTTTATAATCCTTTAATCCCAAAAACAAATCTAGGGTATGTAGAGAGACAAATAAGGATTATGAATTTTGGTATATAAGACCAAATCAGATTCAAGACTATTTGAAAGTACCTTAAAACTTTACTAAAATGAACTGATCATTTAGCAAACCTTTCCTTATAAAGAACCTAAAATAATTCCCAATACTAGTTTTTATTATCACTAGTACACTTGGTACAAGCCATGATAATCATGGTGGTAGTTAGAGACTGCTTTTACTGCATTACATGTCTACACATTGTAGAAAGCAGTTTGACTTGTGAACTTATGTCAGAGGCCCGTTGGTTACATGCATTTATCTGTGGGGGTTGAACTTTTGCAAGAATCGTGAGCCATTGAAGCAATTTTTTTTTTCAGGAGAAAAAACTACTTTTTATTATCACTAGTACACTTGGTTCAGGCCATGATAATCATGGTGGGTAGTTAGCGACTGCTTTTACTGCATTACATGTCTATACATTTGTTTGCAGTTTGACTTGTGTACTTATAAATATGGCAGGACCTCGCTGGTTACTTTCATTTATCTGTGGGGTTGAACTTTTGAAAGAACCTAAAATAATTCCCAATACACTAGTTTTTATTATCACTAGTACACTTGGTTCAGGCCATGATAATCATGTTGGGTAGTTAGCGACTGCTTTTAATGCATCACATGTCTATACATTTGTTTGCAGTTTGACTTGTGTACTCATAAGTATGGCAGAACCTCGCTGGTTACTCACATTTTTCTGTGGGGTTGAACTTTGGTAAAATTCGGGTCACTAGTACACTTGGTACAGGTCATGATAATCATGTTGGGTAGTTAGCGACTGCTTTTACTGCATTACATGTCTATACATTTGTTTGCAGTTTGACTTGTGTACTCATAAGTATGGCAGAACCTCGCTGGTTACTCGCATTTATCTGTGGGGTTGAACTTTTGCAAAAATCGGGAGCTATTGGAGCAATTTTTTTTCAGAAGAAAAAAAGTGTTCAATACGGGATTCGATCTTGGATCATGGCTGTCGAAATTCGATGACTTATACCATTTCTCCACCAACTCTCTCTTATAAAGAGAAGCTTTAGAATCTAATGAAGTTCAAGAAGCTTGCTCAATGCCGTTTTTACTGTGAATCTATAGAACTAAAATAAAAAGGAAATTTGTTTTCTTTAACATAGCTGAAAAATTGATAGTTCCACACTATCAATAAAAAAATTATAAAATTAGGATATTTTTTATCAACAACAACAAGCCTTTTATTAGGTATCTATGCCCTACATAGTATTGATCCTGGTAATAACCGCCCAGAAATGATTATTTTTTATCTCTAAGAAACGTATATAATAAAGTACCTATACTTTGAATTGAATAGTACACCTATCCCCCGATTCACACGGTAGATACGTTCCTGAGAAAAACGTGTAAATCGAGGGATAGGTGTATATTAAACTGTCAAATCTGAATAGGTGTTCGCCCCCTCATGAATCAGAGCCTCCCAATATTCTTTTCAACATAGGTAGTATAGAGTAGAATATCGCATTTTAGTATAGTGCGATAAAAACAAAAAAAAAACTTAAGTGGAAAACCGTGTAAAAGCGAAAACGTGTAAAACAAGTACCGTGTAAATCGGGGGATAGGTGTATTATGATTTATATATTTACTTAACAATATATATAATAGTTTTAAAAGGCTCATTTTAGTAAAGTTTTAAGGTATTTTAAAATAGTCTCGAATCTGATTTGGTCTTATATACAAAAATTCATAATCCTTATTTGTCTTCCTACCCTAGATTTGTTTTTTTGGATAAAAGTATTATAAAACATCATTATTAAATACAGTTTGTCTTTAATAAAAAAATATTCATCCTTAATTGTTTTTATGTTGAATTTGAGTTTTAAGAGCTTCTTATTAATCTTAACTACCTTGTCTTTACAATAATTATGATAAATTTATAAAATATAATGTTAACTGGAAAGTCAATAAGCGAAATGTGAATTTAGTAAGGGATCTTTATAACGTATAGTATAAATAGTTTAAAAATCACTGAAACTAACCTTTAAGTAATTATTGTTGAATATTTGTGGATATGCAAAAATTTAATAACATTTTATTTTGAAGATAGAGGTTGCCTGGCCAGCATCCACTGTTCTTCAAAATAAAAGACAACTTCTCTGTCCAAAGAAGTTTTTAGACAAAAATCTTGTTCTTCTTTGTCAGAAAAAAAAAAACTTATAAATAAGAAATTTTAGAAAGGTGTTATGAATATGCTTCATAAATGTGTTTATTCATCTTTTGTTAAAAATATATATGCATTCTAAAGACGCTTATAACGTTTTACCAAATGTCTTTTTTACTGGCGAGGGTAAAATGATTTTTTCGAAGTGTCCAAAAATAAAATCTTCCCTGGTCTATGTGTCTTAAAGAAATATTTTACTTATAATCTTCAAGGTAATCATCCTCACTATATCTTTTTTCTTCTTTACATTCGTGGTAAATCCATGTAAAATGAATTTATTTTCCTCCAATTTACCCAGACTAATATATTAATTATCTTAATTGTCTTTATTTTTTTTTCTGTATATAAATATCATATATTACCATTAAGGTGCTATTATTTTTTTTCCTGCATGTATTCAACATTTCTGCTTGGAGAATCTGTATAAGACTAAAATGTATCAATAAAGCTTTTTGTTGCTGTTGTTATTACATCTTTATATCTGCACATATCAAAACATCTCTGAAAAACATCTTTCAGACTTCTCACAATATTCAACCGAATTCAGCTTTATTTCAGTTTATTGAGTCAAATCGGCGTTCTTTTCAAGACTTTTCAGGATGAAAGGAAAGAAAGTCATTAGAGCAAGGTCAGAAGAATAGAGTAGCTGTAATAGTAAATAAAAAAAGTTCTTCTTATTTAGCCAAATAGAGTTGTTTGCAGTAACGGCCCTATGTAGCCATGCGTGATCACGATGCAAAAGTAAATTTCTCTGATACCATTTTTAGGTCGTTTCTTACGCAGAGAACCATCCTGAAACCTCGCAATATACCAAGGTAGTAATGTTGATCATTAATGGTCTGACCCTCGGGCATGAATCCATAATGAATCAATCTCTTCTTACAAAAGGAGATTAAAAGAAAGCACTTGAGCTTATATTTAATTGCCTTCATTTTTTTAATCATATACTCCAGGCTCTAGCCATGCTTACGTCTTAGTTTCGGAGTCATATCCGTATTTCATCTACCGTAATGGTATTTTTGAGCTTATAGGTATCATGAAGATTTCAACCATGTTTTACACGGTTTCTTAACCTTCCTTTTCTATTTATTCGTTAAGAGATGTGAGGCAAATTTAGCAGATGATCGTTTAAGATGCAGACCATTCTTTAAGATGGTTTTACATGCTCCAAAAAAAATATCCAATAGTTTTCTGATAAGTTATCTGATATTTAAA